TGTGAAAGAGCCTCCAAAGCTGGATTTGGCCATGGCAGGAAATTATACATGCCTCCCATTGTGTTACTACAACTCCCAACTTTTCTCATTATTGTTTTTGCTGGTGAGGGCTGATAGGACTTGCACTCCAGAGAGCTGTATAAATTCCACCCCTGTTTTACCCATTATTTATAAGGCATATCTAAAAAAAACTGGCAAAAAGTTGCCACTAAAATCTCAGGATAGGAAACACCTGATGGGCATTGTGATGACTGCCTCTGTAAAGTACAGAACGGGGGACACCCCAAGACACTGTTCCCATCAATATCCCATACAAGCTAGAATCACCTGTCAAGAGTCAAAGCCATGGTAATAAAATATGGATAGACAAAGTACAATCCTCCGGATCCCACAGCCAAAGCTCCCAAACCTGGACTCTTTTTAATGGCAATATTTTGGGGCAATTTAGCCCCCAGACCATGCAGAACACCAGCCAAATGCTGGCCAAATGAGTTATGCTAATGTGATTTTTTTTTAAAGAAAAGAAATGGGGGGAAAGAGGGAGACAGTCTGCTTGGGAATAGACAGGGTGAGGGGGAAAGGGGGGGGGGAAAGGAGACCCTGCAGCACATGATTGCCAATATCAAATCAAATCATTTTATTACAGCCGTTCGGCCAGTATAACCAATATCAGAACTGCCACAGAAGCAATGTTTTGAACCTATGGACTACTAGAACAGCAGTGTAATTGGGAGCTTATTGACAGGTTTTCCTTGTCAATGAAAAGGGATGTTTTAACAATGCATCAACGTCATGCAATAAGCATTTTCAAAGTTGCTATTCTCCAACTTTTATTGTGGTTTAAACACCTCATGTGGTAATGTCCCAGTTCTACCACTGTCAGCAGGATATGTCTGTTGCACTATACTGAATAACTTGCCCTGCGTGTGTAGTGTGAATTATATATGTCACTAGCAGAATGCAGCCCATCACGCCCAGAATTTGCTTATCCCCCAAAAGGGAGAAGACTGGCACAAGTAGATTGGAGCTGAAATCTGAAGCCACAGCTTTGTATTCAGCATCTGGCCAATACATAGCACACCTCTCTCTCTCTCTCTCTCTCTGGCACTCTAACACACAGAGAGAGGGGACAGCAAACACAATAGTTGATGGAGGAGAGTAAGAACCACCATGTTTTGTGTAATGCTGTTGTTGTTGTGTTTCCAACTTATGGCAACCATAAAGTGACCCTATCATAGGGTTTCTTGGCAAGATTTGTTCAGAGGAGGTTTGCCACTGCCATCTAGCACAGCATTAAGAAGAAAAAATTCAGTTGTTCAGGCTTTGTGCTGCTCACACAATGGGGGATAGAGAGGAGGTATTGCTTTTGGCATCTAAGGACAGAAATCTTCAAGGAGATTATTTTCAATACAAAGCAGGATAAAGGCTAACTGACTTTGTGCATACAGATACAGAGACACACCCTTTGCTTTCAAAGCTTTAATTCAATAAAATAAACTGGAAAAGGCCAGGCATAACTCAGCTCCAGCTCCTCTCCCTTGATCATACATTGTATCCCATCTCTTTCTTTGGTTCTAAGATGAGCATAATGAACACTTCTGATGGATAAGACGATTTTCAAGTATTGCCAGGAAGAAAAGCCAAAATTCTGCCTCTCCTGTCTCCAAATCTAGGCACCTCCCTTTGTATATCACACACACACACATACACATCTTGCCTCTGAAGAATGACTGTGGCCAGAAAAGGTGAAGAAAAAAAACAACTGCACAGCAACAGAAGGGAAAGAGAAACTGCAAGATACAAAAAGATAAAATAAAAAAGGCACAAGGACATTGCATTACAATGGTTTATCCTGCCCTGTCCTAGAAAGTTATCAGATGAATAGAGACCATTGGTAAAATTACTGTGGCAGCTCAGTAGGATCTAGGATCACTCCTGAGTTTAGGATTGGCTCTCTGTCTTTGCAGAATCAAGTAGTCATGAAGTAGCTGGAAGGACCCAACAAACATCACATCCTCTAGCCGCTTGCCAACGCAGCAATTCCTCTATTAGAGCATCCTGCATTGGCAACTGTCCAGACTTGGCTTAAAGGCGATTCCACCACCTTCCTAGACAGTCTGTTTCACAGCTGAACAGCCTGAACCTTCAGGAAGCCCCTTCCAATATCTCTGGTCAATCCAGACATTGTTGTTGTTACACCTTCAAGTCATTTTTGACTTATGACGATCATAAGGTGAACCTATCGTGGGTTTTTCTCAGCAAGATTTGTTCAGAAGAGGTTTGCCATTGCCTTCCCCTGAGGCTAGAGAATGGGACTTGCCCAAGGTCACCCACTGGGTTTCATGGCTGAGCTGGGAATCAAATCCTAGTCTCCAAAGTTGTGGTCCAACACTCAAACCACTATGTCATGCTAGCTAAAATCTGAACATACTGGCTCAGATTCTATTCTCTGGAACAGCAAAAAAACAAACACAATCTAGTTCAGCATACACCAATGCAAACCAGTGTGGTGTAGTGGTTTGAGTGGTAGACTAGGACTCTGGGAGACCAGGGTTCAAATTCTTGCTTGGCCATGGAAACCTACTGGGTGTCCTCAGGGAATCACACTCTTGTAGCATCAGAGGAAGTCAATAGCAAACCTCTTCTGAACAAATCTTGCCAAGAAAACCC